TAGGCCTTGTTATGAAACCAGTGTGCTTCAACACAGAATGCAAACTCTTTCTTCCCTCCAGCTTGCAGTGTGTCAAGCTGAATTTCTGGGAGGATCACCTTTTAGCATTTTCACTGAATTTTTACTCCTATATATCCCAAATACAGAACTAAATGCTTACTGGCATTTTTTTTGGGGGGATGAGCCATTTTAAGCCTAAGTGATGATCCATTATAGCATCTTTTTCTTCCATTTTCTAAGTCATGTGGAAGGTGTTCAAGAAACATGTAGCTGTGGCACTTAGGGGCATGGTTTAGTGCATGTGGTGGTGATGGGTTGATTGTTGTACAAGATGATCTTAGATGTTTTTTTCCAGCCTTAATGATCCATGATTCTATTTTTTTTCCATTCTCTAACAACAAAATAAAATAAATTTAAAGGCTAGTCCTAGGTACAGAAGGACTGTTTTCCAAGAAACATAAAAATCCAGATTTTTATACTCAAAGTTACACCAGTACACATGGTATAGAAACTTTACATTGTTTGTAAAAACCAAAGATTGAAGCTAAGTCTCTTTCAAATTTCAACCTGAAAAATTACATTTACTCATTTGGGTAGGTTTTCTTCTGTTTGATTTTCCTTGTGCCTATTTATTTATTTTTTTTTTATATAAAATTTGAGAACCTTATCATTCCTCAGTTGCTTCTGCTGTGGTATGCCGATGTTGGAAAAAAAGCTTAAAGTATATTTGTTACTTTTATTTCATTTCTCAGGGCATGATTCCTTAGTAGACTGCAGTGAAAGCTTGTACGTTAAATTTTTATTTATATCAAGTGGTCAGTATAATAAAAATAACCAGACACCACAGTGTAAGTTATTTTCCAAAACCGTTTTTGTCCTCACTGTTTGTCTTGGATTACTTCATCCACTCCTAAATGCTTCTTTTCCCACACACCCTGCTACTTTGTAGTTTGAGCACCTTGCAACTGTAGTGTTGTAGTGAACTAACTTTTCAAGCAGTTTTTTTTTTCACATGCCTGTACAATATAGATTAGAAATGAACTTTCTTCTGTTTTGTTTTGTGTTTTGTTTTGTTTAGATACCATGAAGTTCTCTTTAGGGATGATTCAAGTCCAAACACCATAATTCAGACATAGTCTTTATAGAAAGGTGGAAAAGAGAGAGCAAATAGGTAGCTATAAAATGGATACTAAACATCTGATTGAAGCAGTATAGTGGACAAGGGTATCACTTCCCTGGGACAGAATACCAGCTGTGAAGGAAATTTTGGTTGAGTGGTTGAATAGGTTATGACAGTAAATCAACATGTGCTGAATTGTGTTCATTTTAGGTGTGGATCCTAATCTGACGTGACTGCATAAATCAAGAGCAGTGTTATGGATGACTGGAGACTCACACTGGAATAATAGCAAGTAAGTGAAAGAAGAGCTACCTCTGCTGACAGTCAGAGATTCCAAAGAGAATCCCTAACTATACACACACTTTTATTGACTGTGTTGTGTAGGAGGGGACTGAAATGAATGCATGTCAGGTGAAGAGAGGGCAGAAGGGGCGTATGCCTGAGGGTGCTGAAGTATCACTGCATCGCTGGCAATTAAAATTTACATTAGTACTTGTAGTCTGTTACAGTTGAGATTTTAATAATTAATTTGATGAAGTAATTCTTATGAACTTCCTCTCTAATGTACAGAATCTTCATGTATTTTATTTTACTAATATCTGGATTGCAAACATTGCAAGTGTGTGCCAATACCCCTGTGAATAGCAGTTCAACAAGACCATGAGGGAAAACAAATGTTTACAAATGATAAGACTTGGTCTGCATCTTCCACTATTCTCCTATACCCAGTTTTGGACGAAACTGAAGGGGAACTTATTTGATGATCATCTGTGTGTGTGGCTGTAATTCACACCGAATTCACACTGAAGCTTTCTCAGAGCATTTCCATCAGCCTGGAACTTGGAAATGTAAATTAAGATAAATAATAATGTCTTTAATGTCATTCATTATTTGACAAAGGTTAGGGAAATTAAAATCCTTCTTAGTTTTTCTGCTAAAAGAAACAAAGAGAAAAATTTGCAAGTGTAAAGAATGTTCTTAGTAGTTCCATATTGGATTCCTCCTTCAGATGAATGAATGAAGTTTATGGTGGGAAGGTACGGAATGCATGGTTTTTGAAAATCCAGCAATTTTAGGATCACAATAATTATCAAATTTCTTTCTCATAAGTCATGGCCATATTTTTCTCCTCTGCTGCTTTTTCCTCTCTTTACTGGTGTAAAAGACTAACTAACAGGATGTGGAAATTGTCCACTTTATTTATTTATTTATTTATTTTTAGTATACTACAGAAAATTATATAGGGGAAAACTTTTGGTTCTTTATTCAGAGTAAGTATCCAGTAACTTACTCTGTTTCAATTTCTGTTGGCATCAGTGGGATTAATCTGCAGAATGTTTTAAGCAAAATGAACATGGAGAAGTTCTGGTTCCTGAGATTATTCTTTTCCTCAGTGTCTCTCATGTCTTCCGTCTCCCTGATCTAATCTTCTGATGCACTGATTTGTTTAGATATAAATGGAAATATTGAAACAAGTGAAAATTGTTGTCATTCTTTTACTATGAAGAAAGAGCTCCATGCAAATTCTGCTACTGGACCCACTACCTAAATTTGAGTTATGTTTGAGTTCCACAAAGAGAATATTACATTACAGTTTCAATCTCTAGCTTCCAAGTGCAGACATGGATATTACCAGAGTCAGCTCAAAGCTATCAATCATTAGAAAGCTTATTGAGTGTTCAAAATAGTTCTATCAATATCTCATTTGCTGTCTGATCTAATGCATAGCCTCTAATGCCAACGCAGTGACTCCATCTTTCAAATGATAAAACATGATTTCTTACAAGCATTTGTGAGAGGCTTATATTTTTATGTTTGGCCCATTGAGTTAGATGGATGAGTTTGTCCTACTTTGCTGCTCAGCTGATAGCCATGAAGAAAAATTGCTCTTACAACATGTATTTCAAGACCATGTAAGAGGAATATCAAAAGAAACACTTCAATTAAACATTTCTCAAAGTGAGAAATACTCATATTGTCTATGTTAAACGGCAAGCATTGTGTTTATTAGATAGAATCAAAACCTTAAATATATAATGTGATATATGATAAAGATAAAACAAGGCAGTGGTTATAAAACTCAGCTCCAGATCTTGCTCATGCTTTAACCTCATTTTTACCTGGAGACTTATCATAGTATAATGATAAGTAGGAACCATGACATGAGTGTAGGTGGCTTTGCCCTTTCAGGAACGCTGGAAAGCTTTTGCAGTCACCTTGCACCACGTTATGTTTTGGATATCACATATGAGCAGATTCAAATCCTTCTCGGTCATCTCATGAATCTAGATTGATTATTTGGGAGTCAATGAACGTACCATATGATGATTTTCAGACCAAAAGATATATAAGATGGGCAGAGATACATTTATGTTCTTTGCAATTCAGTGGCTGGCACAGCTGAGCTAATGTTTAGGGGCAGGAGGGTTAATGATTTGCTGCTGATATAGGCCAGCAGCTAATTACTTTCTCTCTACAACAACAGGGAAGCAGGATGGAATCGCCTCTGACTAATTTGCAGTCACTGTGGTGGAATGCTTTGTGCAGAAGCATGCTGTTCTAGACTGTGTCATAGTGACACTGTCTAGCCCTTAGTAAAATATGCAAACACTAAGCACTGGTAATGTCTTAAGGGGATGAGAATGCTTTGCTTCACTAGGAAGTATATGCTAACAGTAAACTTTTCCATACTCTTTGGCATCTGAAAAAGTGTAAGAAGATTAGAGTCACAAGAAAGCAGATGCCACAGAAGTGTACAAGCCTTCAATACTGTGTTCTGGATACATCCAAAGTCAAAGTCTGTGTGCCTTTACATAAAATTGTAAGCTAATTAACTCCTCTCAGGTGCAAGTATGAAGTTATGAAATTGAAAGCAGATTTCTTATGAGATGTATTTCAAACTTTTGTTTAGACTTTAGGAGCAGGTAAGCTGTGTGTAGTCTGAGCCAAAGCTGGAACCTGGGATGAGCAGTCATGCAATGAAATTATTTTAAGATGACTTGATGATATGCACTTTAAAAATGGCCAAATAGAGGTGTTTTGGAAAGCCTGTTTTTTCTCTCTCTCTCCAGAGAGCAGATCAGTGTACCTCTGGAAAAACAAAACAAACAAACGTGAAGTTTACTTTCCTAGAATTGGGATTAAAATTTCTCAATTCTTAAAACCAAAACCAACAGCCTTTCAAAAATCCAATCTCAGTTTTATAATTTTTGAATATTCCCCTTACCTTTTTTTCCCCCTCATTTTAGAACTAAATATGCAAAACTTTAAAATTTTAAATAGCTTTTAGAATGGAATGATTAAAAAATGTAAAGATACTGATGCAACTTCAAAAATGAGTTTAAGAAAAAACATATTTGAACATACTTGTTTTGGACCAGAACCATCCCTTCATGAAAGTCACAATGTAAGAAAGCAAAACCAGCTTTGTTTTGAAGTGATGGGTCTTTAGCTCCCATCTGCTAATCTGAGTGATCTGCTTTAGTGCCTTTTCTAGTTTAAAATAATAATAATAATAAAGTGGTTTTATATTCGTGTGTGTGTGTGAGTGTGAGTGTGTAAAGTCCCATGTTTCTAAGATGTGCTGTCTTTTCACTAGCATAGGATTCAGTACTTCAAATGAACAAACATCTGTTGCTACAATGTTTGAAGAAAAAAAAAATCAGTTTGAATTTTCTGTGTTGTAATAACCTTGTTTGCAACTTGGAATACTATAGCTTTGTGCTGCCACTGAGACTTTGGTATTACGTAAGTTAGTTCAGATCTGGAATATGTTGTATTTCAGGTGTTGTGAATAGAACTGATATAGTAAATCAGTTAAATAATTAAAGTGAATGCAGAAGAATCCATATGTAATCAAGGCATGGAAATCTGTGCTTTTGATCAGAAGCATACAGGAATATTGAACAGCAAATGGATGTTATAAAAACCACAGATCAGTAAGTGCAGAAAGTCCTCAAGAGAGCTAGGTACACAGACCTGAAAAAGTAATGTATGTCTCATGTTGCTTCCCAGAGAGAATGGCTAGGACGGGCCCTTGAGAGTTTTTACAGTAACAGCTGCAACAGAGACATAGAATTTGGAAGTAATCATGAATAAATAGGAGTGCTTGAAGTGATAAAAAGTTGAATACTATCACATATTTATACAAAACAAGTATGCAATGCTTTTTCTGTTTCCTCTGCCTGACAGCACAGAGCTGAAGTGCCTGTGTTAAGCGATTGTTTGTGACTGATATGCCAGAGTAATAGACGAGTTTTTTTCCATATGTATACGTGTGTATAGGTTCTGGTGAGAAGGTGTGCAGCACAGTGTTGCCATGGTTAGGTTATTTCCTAGAATCCACAACCAAACTCTTAATGCGTTCTGATTAGGTTCTGTGTAAAAATCATGGCAAGACTCTGCCTTTTTCCTTTGCCTTAGTTTGGAAGAACAGGGGAATTATGGAATAAAAAGTGAAGAAAAATAACACTTCTAGCAGAATTTTTCTTGATTCATAGAATCATAGAATTCATAGAACCGTATAATTCAAAATGCTTTTATAAACCTTTTCACATTTTATTTTGGCTATTTTATGCAGGAAAATAATATGGAGTTGATCATAGCTCTTGGATGCATTCAGTGTAACACTGTAAAATATTTTTAGCTGGTGCATGACTTCCACCTGCAACAGAAAATGTGACACTGTTATTAAGAGTGCAGAACAGGGTACTGAGAGGACACAAAATGCCGCACCTAAGACTTTCAATACGTAAATTTTGGAGAACAACAAAACCTTTCATATACAAATATTTGCGATTTCAAGCAGTATAACATTTATTTACAAGTACGTATGTGTATTTCTGTTCATGGATGTAGTTTAGTTATGTGAAAGAATCTCTGGATAAAGCATGATGAGCTAGTCAAAACATTGTGATGCATTTGTTCTGAAGGGTCTGCAATTTCATAATAGTGACCCTAAAGTTGTATTAGGATGTTTGGATTGTGAAGTATTATGAAGGGTTGTATCCTTTTTAAGGTGAGGCATGTTGAGCATTATAGGAGTGATGTTGGCACTCTATAGAAAAACATGTCAAAAAAAAAGACAATACCTAAGTTTGTGAAGAGAGTCAAAGTGTTATATTCAGAAAGTGCTTGGACTTGGATTGCAAAGTCAGCTTCTATAAGCTCTGTATACTTTTCATGCCTGCTTGAAGAACAGACATTCTGTAAGTGTGCAGAAGCATCAGTAATCACTTGGTAGCCTCTGGGGCTGAACCAAGAAGCTACTGGAGATGTGAAGGAATCATGAACTGAAGTATGTGCTACAAATGTGTCTTCTGTTGTTAAATGCTGCAGGACCATTCAGTTACACTAAAATCTAAGTACTGAAATGTAATGTCAGGTCTAGTGAGAGATTTATCATTGCTATCAACAGAAGTAAGCTCTGAGAACCTGTTCTACATTTCTTGTTCTTGTGTGTGATTTTTGTATTTCTGTGTATGTTTGTTTTTACCATACGCATGAATACAGATCCTTTTTATCTAGTGTTCTTCAGGATTTAAGTGTTAGGATCTTAGGGCTTGCAATAGAGGTTTGATTATGCCACAGAATAGTAAGACCACTGAGAAAGAATTCGGTGGTGAAGCACCTCCAACTATACTGAATTATAAGTGAATTAATGGAAGAAGATGGAAGTTAAGAGTAGTGTCCTTTACAGTCCTGTGGTGTTTTGGAAAGGTTTAACCCTAACAGATGAAGTGAAGATGACAAATCACACTGTCAGTTTTGACCAATCAAGCAGTGAAATGGCAATAAGAGGAAAGTACTGTCCAGTTTGATCCTTTTCCTTTTCTTTTCAAATTTGCAACAAAAATTTGCCAGCAACTGCTACTTTCTTTAAGAGACTGACAATTATTCTCTTTTGAGATGCTTTACATCCTGTATAGAATTATTATTATTATTAATTTGTAAGAGGGGTAAGGAATGTTTCCTCTGAATTGTCAACTGCAGTAGAAAGAGACAGTAGTTTAGCTTGAATAAGAATTGATAAGGGTGTTTTAGATAAACTGTTCAACTGCACTTTTGTTCGGACTTACTTTATATCTGTATGTGGATATGCTCTAGGAAATCAGTTACTGAAGAATCCCTCTTTATGTTATTTACCAGTAAATGACCTGTTCATTTAAAAAAAAAAAAAAAAAAAAATAAAATTTAGGGGGGGAGTTTGTTTTTTTTTTTTTTTTTTTTTAAACAAACGATCATGTGTAATCTCTCAGATGGGAGTGGGAGTTGAAAGGATCATCTTTCTTATTTATTACCATCTGACAATAATTTCTTCCACTGAAGTCTGTGGATATGCTTTGTCTGACTTAAGCTACTAATGAAAATTTCATCCTGACATACGCAGCATAAAGAAGTACACTTTATGAGACTCAGAAAGATCTCTATCTGAACAGAATCAGTTTTCTGATGGAATTGTAAACCACTTGTGGGTGACTATTGGGAGTGATGGGTGCTTGACAGAAGACTACAGTTCTTCTGACTTCTTGATTCCTAAAGAGAATTCTATCTCCTTGTCCACATTCTTTTCAATGAAGAAGAAATGATGTGGTTTGCTGTGTAGGCAAAAATAATTGATATATTCTTGTCCTGAAGCAGAACTCCAACAGCAATTTCTGAGCTCCAGTACGGCAGGAATATCAAGGAGAGAGGATATAACTGGAAGTTTCTGATCTCTGAACTTTGTTGGAGATTAATTACCTGTGCAGTACAGGATGCAGGTGCTATAAAACTGTTTTCTTATAACTCTACAGTGTAGTGGGAGGGCTGTATCCTTAGGGGAGCTACAAGTATGTATGTGGTTTCTGGACTTGTAGGAGCTTTCATTTGTCTCTGAATGATTTATTCATAGAGGTGTTAATTTGAAAGATGAAAAAAATAAAAGATTTCAGAATTCTAACTATGAATAAACAGAATATTTTACAGTATTTCTAGTTAATATCTAATGAGACAACACATCTTTCCTGGGATTCCTGCTTCTAACTCCAATTATTGTTAATGAGAATTTTATGCCCCCTGCATTAAAAAGAATATGTTAGAGATACTTGCTCAAGCAACAACCTGTGGCTATATATTCATATTTAACACCTCAAAGGGAGATGAAGAGAGTGTGTGTGCCTGTATGTCTGTAATTAATATTGTCATCAATTATAAATATGGAAGCTTGCTGTAAATTTTGAATCTGGATTCAAGCATGGACTCTGAGCATCCAGCATCCCAGGCTGTGAGCTATAGTGGTTAGTAGATAATCTCTCTGGGATGTATGCTACATTTTTTAATTGCAAATCTTAGCTATGGCAGCGGCTACATTATTTCAGAGGTATAAAAAAGACATCTGCTACAAAATCCCATCAGCGTAGCCCATTTGACTGTATTGAGTACTGTATATGTTATGTGTATTTTACAACCTCAGGTTAATGGAACCACCTAACTGCTGATATAGGAAAATGTCTTTTATGCTTACAGTGAAATATTGACAAATCCATAGCAAGTTACTGAAAGTCACGTGTGGTTACTCAAGTTTGACCAAACAAAAAAGAATTCTTGTCTAATTAGATGTTAATCTAATGGGATTAGAGATGATGCAAGAAATCTCAGATTCCTTAATTAAGGTAAATGTAAAAATGATAATTTATTATTTAAAACCACTACCTTCCTTTGAACTGATGGTCTGCACCAATAATTGGTTTCATTGAGTTGGCACCTGTAACTACTGTATTTCCACCTAACTATACACACAGATTTATTTAGAATGAGCTGTTCGCTAGGGACTACCTTGAGCTATAAGTGAAGATGTTTCCTTTGCAGTAATATTGTTATTTTCTTCAGGGAAAAAGAAAACAAACAACCAAACAAGAAAAAACTAATATAGAAACAATCAAAAACTCACCTGATGTTAAATAGTTTGAGCTGAGTATAAGCGAAATTCAGACAACGTGGTCATGTACACAGTCCGTCATTAAGGTTTTTTATATCATTTACTGATATCTGTAGACAAGCAGTTGTCTTTATATGCTTGAAAAATGCCATTTTCAGCACAGTTATTTACATTAATTTACAATGTAATCTATAAAAATACAGTATTTCACATTTTGTATGCTTGCCAGATTCTTCTAAAAGAAATAAAAAGCTGCTTTTCCCCCTCTGATTCAAATTAGAAGTCTTTGGCATATGGAGAAAAAACAAACACGTTCATAGAGAATCCAAGGGGGTATTCTGTGTATTTATATCTATATTTGAATTCAGTGATGTTTAAGCATTGACCTTTCTATAAAAGCAGCAGACAAAGGATGTTGTCTTGTAGTAGTGGTATGGCACAACCTCTGAAAGTGCAGTTCCCACTCTGCTATTGGTTGCTAAGTATCCGTTTATTTCTATCTAGAAAATATAATAGGGGGCTAGTCAAGCAATTTGTGCTTCTCAGTCCTTCACATAGCCCATTAAGCTCTCTGAGCATCTGGAAGTTCTTTCGGATTGTCTTGGACCTGGTAAATATTTTCAGTTCTGAGCAACTCAATAGTTTCTTATCTGTGCTGAAAGAATCCATCTCTACTGTTAAATCCTTCTACTGTTGGTGTTTTCTGAGGAATCTAGTCTGTTGGGTGTGCTGTAAATAAGACAAATGTGCAGCTGAATGATCTTATTTTCTATGTTACAAAAACAGTGTTGCCAGAAAGAGGCAAGTAGGGATAATGGCCTTTACTTAAGACAGACAGCCTTAACAGCATGTGCTTTGATTGTGAGGAAATCCAGTTCATTTTGCAGTAGTTTTGAAACACGCTTATCTCATGATAGAATGCTCATCATTGGCTCTGCGAGCTAGAATACAAGGAATGAGTTAAGGTTAGGCTTTCTACTCCCTTTCCTGAATAGGGCAGCTTTAACGATGCATTAATTCAGACTAAGAATATTATCCTTTGTCAGCTTAATATCTAAAATACTAATCTTAATCTATTTTACTAATCTACCTAGGGAAATTTGATCTTTGCTCTGAGAACTGGGCTTGTGTCTTACAGTTACTGGTCAAAGAACATAGTTTAGAAATAGTCCTTCAAATTGGGGCTATTGCCTGTTCTCATCCATCAACCCTTTGTTTCAGGACCATCACTTGTTTCAGGATTTAGGATGTCATCTGCCTATTTCCACATGTTCCTTTTACGTGACCAGTATATATTGAGGTTGTGTAGAAATATTTTTCCTGGCTAAGTGTAGGTTATTGAATAAAAGAACATCAAATTGTCCCCTATTTAAGTAACTTTTGAGAATCTTGATTGACTTTTGAAGCTATTCTCACAATCTGGATTAGCTGCTGGCAAGAGATTATTGACTTTGGGAACAACCTGAAAGACTGTATTTATTAAGATTTGGCATGGGTGGGAAAATAATATTTCACAAGAGAACATTTGTGTATTGGAAGGAAGGAGAGCAGGCTACTGGGGATCCTAGTAGAGCTATAAAAGCTGGCTAAATTCTAATGTTGCTATTGAAAGGATGACGCCTTACCCACTATAGATGTCATGAGAACTGTTGTCACATTTTAGTGAGCAGTAAGCTACAGGAAAGCAGTATTTGGGTGCATCCTCTTGACAGAAAAGTTCACATGAACATGAAACATGAAACTGTGTGTGTTTTACAGAAGCACTGAACTGGAGACTAAGATGTAGTGTAAAAAGCCACAATTTTAAGGAAAGTTGCATGCAAACAATTTTTGTAAAGGCAAAGCTGTCACCCTACAGTGACTTAGAACTAGATAATTAAAGGAAATGATTGGTACAAGATTTATTCTAATTTTCAAATCCTGTGAGCTCATTTTCACACATAATGAATTGAATTGTGTAATAATACCTAATTTTGTACTTGAAAGGTAGAAATAGCCAAAGTAAATCTGTCTTCTTTTTCAGCAATCTGAGTGCTCAGCATTAGTTCCTTCTAGGGTAAGTGAAGGAAATGCCATAATGCCTAATTCTAGAGCATTTTGCCTATTGGGAAAGATTCTTTCTAATGTCCACGAGAGAGAAGTTGACTTATTCACTGAAGAACCAGGGTTGAAATCTCTTGTTTTATTTTTTTTTAAATCTCATCTAATGCAGCCATAGACATCCTCATTATGCATACAAATGTCTAAATCCTTTTTGAAGCTTGCTAAATTTTTGTTCTTAATAATACCTCCAGGAAAACTGCCACAGGTTAATTACTTGCTGTGTTGAAATATTTGTTTCATTCTCTTCAAAAATTGCTTGTGTTCAACATCAGCGGTTTGGTTTTGTGTTACAAATTGCGGTAGATAGTAATATCCAATTTGCATTCACTTTTTAAAATTATTTTGTATATATTTATGTTGGGCTTATATGCCTTTCATTTCTCAGTCACACAGCACAAGACTTTTGAAGCTCTTCTTCCGTATTCTAAATCTTTCCATTTCAGTTGCAAATGTGTTTCCTTAATACTTATACTTTAGCAGTGAACTGGACTGAGGATAAGCTGTAACTCACCAATCATTCTGTTTTCTCCCAGTAATGGAGTTAACTGCTGAAATTCAATCATGTGCTTCACTGACATTTAAAATAGAGAAAAATTTCCAGTTCTATCCAAACACATTCCATTACAGTGATCTGATCACTTCTAATTTATTCTTCTGTTGTGGACCATTCAGAACCTGTCTTATTTGAATATACTGGAAAAGCGTTTCCTGTTTTATTATTGTGAAACTATTTTAGTTTTCTGTTGCTTGCTGTTGTTTTCTTTCCCTCTGGTTAGTATTATTGTTAAGTTCTGTTGTGCTTGTTTCAGCAGTTTTCCTTCGATCTAGAGAGGAAGGTGCGTGTTTCAATGTAAGTTTTGTTATATTTTCATGGGTATTGGTAGTGCTTGCTATCACAGAGTGCTTAAGCAGTCTGTAGAAATCAGCAAATTTTAACAGCAAATAGCATGTTGCTGAACAAGATTAATGAAGTACTGAAAAATAAACAAAAGGATGGAAAGAATCTCACTTAGAACTACAGATTGACTAAAACAGCTCAGTTTCAGGATTAAATTCAAGAGGATACCTAATTTGCTACTCATTTCTTTAGAAGGCTGAGTCCTTCAAATATGATGAGCATTTGGAAGCATTGCATATTAATCCTTGATTGTTTTTGAGGACAAAAGCAGAGATGAAGCACTTCCCCAATAAACCTGACCATATGGTTACACTGACCTACTGAGAACATGCTGTGCAATCTCTAGCATCTGAGACCTCCAAGATACTATTATTAGTATCTCCATTTTCAGTACTCCTTAACTAGAAATATTGTTTGTTAAGTATTTTGGGTTGCTGATGATCCTGGCTGGGAGAGTAAGAAGATATGGTGGTGATGCTGCTAACTTGAGCATTGCCTGAGAAGATGCCAACTTTCACTCTGTATACAGTCAGAGAAGTTGTCACTTTTCACAGAGGTGGAGGCTCATTCTATTTAGTCAGCAATTTTTGTGTGCATCTGTACAGTCTGAATTGAATTTGCAACATAGAGTTTTTGCCTTACGATGTTTCTGTAATTAATTGTTTCAAGTACAGTTGGAACTTTATGTGGAAAAGGATACAAACAGCAAGAGGCAAATTTAATCTCCTTAGTTGACTGAGGCTATGGATTTATGATTGCCTTTGCAAATAA